GCGCAGACGGAGGTCAGCTTGGTGCGCCGCTTCGACAACTGGGCGTACGTGAACGAGGGCGTGAAGAAGCGGATGCCCTGGGTGAACACGGGCGCGCGGGGAGATGGTCATGAAGCTGCCATCCTGACGACGGCGGGGGTGACCGGTAACTGGTGGGGCACCATGGTGACCTCGTCAGTCGATAAAACGTTCCAGCATAGTCCATGGATGTATCCCATCGCTAGTAAGTCCGGCACAGTGTTGTACTGGATGAGAGAGGAGATGTTCTAACGCTCTCGACGGCTCGTTTTCATGTTTTTTTGTGTGTTTTTTAGAGTTGACGAAGAAGAAATGCAACTGTGCAAAGTGGTCAAGTGACAACCCAGTTTCTTCAGTGGGTTCGTTAAAATTTGCCTAAGTGTATGGTGAGGTGTAAGTGAATGTCTAATGAAGGCGTGGCAAACAGAAGTTAAGTGTGGTGTTACAAAGCCGCGTCGTATCTTTTGAGAAGCATGTTGGTAACTTCTGATGTATAGTCGTGAGTAGCTTGTCGCACAGGCTTGCACTGTAGGAGGAAGCCCAATGGCTCTCTCTCCCTTTTCCTCAGCCATGCAAATATCAGCGAAGATGCGCACCTGATTTGTTGGTTTTTCTGACCCCACCAATTTGAGGCATGACATCGGAAGATATTTTGTTAAACATCTAAAATTTTAGTTCTGCTACAAAACGTCAGCATGCCGTTGGCTGACCTGTAGTTTAGCATGGTTCTACCTGCGCAAAGTCAAGATTGGGCTGGAATCTTTTTAGCATGATGCAAATGCCTGCGAATATATCCATCGAGTGCAATATATATCATATATCTGAATATACAAATATGCCGTCAAATATATTGTTCACAGCGTCGTAATTGCCAGGATCTAGTGATAGTTTCGAACTCATGCGTTCATATTTATGACACACCTGCGCGTCCAATGTCTTGTAGTTTCGAACTCTAAACGATTCCATGAACAATGTGGTTTTATTAGCTGCTAAATATAAATGAATCTGGCTTGTGGGTGCCTCCGCGCGGCCGGGCGCGCCGACGTTATTGGTTGGTTTTCGCGACCGCGGGAGAAAGACCAATAACATAATATCTATAAGAGATTGGCTATTGAAATGTTCAACGTGTGCAATGCATCAGGCAAGTATTGTTTATACCGAACGTAAAGTGTCGCTGGAATAACGTAGACTTAGAGTTGAAGGGGGCTTCCCGGCAGTAGTGGCGACACGGACTTTGCCCTCCAGGCGGTGATGGGGCAAGAGAGGACATGGCATGGCCGCGTCAAGACAAAACCTGACCCATTTAAAACTGAAGACTTCTCGTCTTTTAGTCTCTTATTGTCGGGAGCCAAAGGTCTTTGTTTTTTTAACACTTCTATCCATTTAAAAAATGGAAAGAACGGTTCCCATTCTATGACCGGTTTGTCTGTTGACTCACTGATATAGCTCAAAAGTGGTCTGAAATAAGTTGAGCGCGCCTCAAGAACGCGCAATTTCTTGCATGACTTAAAACAGCGCTGCGTGTTCTCGATCTTATTTTATCATGCACCTTGAGCCTTCAGGCATCAAAATTGATTGGCATACACCACGCTTGCCGTCAGGCCGTACTATAAATAGCAGAGGCGGACGCAAATTACCTAGATACTTGACGCATCCTAAAACTACATGTAATGCCTTTGATAAATTTAAATGGGGGAGGGACTCTTCCCCAAGGGCCACCATGCGTATACGCCATTGATCACCACATGGAGTGTACTGGATGGTATACGGGCTGTCGGGCATCTACGAACGGAGGCGTCTTGCCGTGCGGAGAACACGGAGTAAAACTACTATCGTATGTATATAGATATTGCCACCATTGCATGGTGCCTTCTGCACGGCAGTTTGTCTCGTACACTGTTCGATTGCTTAGTCTAATCGTTACATCATTGCCTTTTCTGCAACTGAGAGCTCTCCACCTGGTTGACCGGTTCGTCGCCACCAACCCTAAGCGGATGCAAACCTGCCCCCCCCCCCTCCCGCCCCCCTCCCCAGCGCAGCTGCCGTCATCCCCGCGGGCACTTTTGGGCGTGCAGGTCGACAAGGTGCGGGCTGGTGGGCTTCCTGTGGGCTATGGCGGCTAGCAAGTGGGCTTTTATGGGCCCTCGGAAGTGGCACATTATTATAACTGGATTTTAAAAACGTTAAAAAATGAGACTGGCTTGAGCTCACGGCATTCCGACATAAAAGCTTTCTAGAATCGAACGGAAGTATCTGTAACGATTATGTTGACCGTAAACGTAGGTTTAGACCTCTCTTCTATGGTCTTCTGTGGAAATGTTCTATAAGATACACTGCTGGTTGTTGTGGGTTTTCGAATGTGTTATGCAGGCGAGAGGTATATACATATCCCACGGTAGCAGGAACGTTGATGTGTATACAGCATTGACCAAGTTTCGCATGATATGCGGTGCCGCTTTTGCATAGTTATTCGTTTCCGTAATTAACACCTTAATGGCGTATCTTGTCAGATCGTTTTAGCATCCAGGATCTGTTCCCCCGATATAACATGCACATCCGAACGCATTACAGATAACACCATATATCACGTTGCTTGTGTTGCAACCATTTACTCAATCATACGTACACATCATTGTAGGTCCCTTTGCTGACGCACGCTCCAGATATGTGGGGATTGTCCCACCTTCGGAGAATGCTTCAAACACATACCCTGGTGAAAACTTAGGACCAGTAAGTATAACAATAACAGTGGGTAGTGCCACCCCGGCACCACCAAGATACAATGAGGAGATTGATTGAACTCTATTCCTGTCAAACTTACGTCTCAGCATTTTCTCGCCGCGCAACACTTTTGACACTTTTTCTCGCCGCGCAACACTCGCCGCCTCGTACGATTACGCCAAGCAAGATCGAATGGCATCTTTCTGCATTCGTGTGTCAAGTGGCAGAACTGCGCTCGGATGTCCTTTCCCTTTCGTTCGCCAGGTTAGAGCGAACCAACATATGTGTTGCCCTTTCACTTACCAGTTGATCTTGCATGCCTGCGCCAAAATGGCGGATCTATTCAGGTGGAGGTTATTCGGCTCGAGGGATTCTGCTGTACAGATGAGAAAAAAGTCACAATGGGACGCGAGTCACTGAATTTTAACAGCGTTCCTTAACGGCGTGCTGGTTTCAGGCAGCTCCGCTTGATGTCAGAAATCATAACGCCGCTTCGTGACCTCAGAACATCTTGTTTGACCTCTAAGGTCACCTTGCTGATCTGCAGCATGACGTTCTGCTGCTTCAGAGCCATGGTAATGCAGGCCAACTGTGGTTTGAGGTAATCAGTTTGCTTGGTTTGTGGAATCTCCCTGCTGATTGTGACCCCGGGTCAACTGGTTGAGGTCTGAGGTCATTTTGCGATTTGTGGGCCGTCGTTCTCCTTCATTGTGATATTGTCTAGATGGTGTGTGGCTCAGGGTCGCCATTGTCCTTCAGACTTGGAAAGTCTTCCAATATGGACGAGCCATACGTCCGTTTTGTTGACGAACGTCCGTTGCGGTTTCACACATCCTGATCCTTGTTATGTGTTGATGAAGTCTTCGCGTGTAGCATCTAACTACTATCTTCATGTTCGGCGTGTTCAGCCGAAACCAGTGGTTGCATCAATTTCTTCTTCGACTTGCCTAGATGCTATTGAAGAAGGCAGAAGCTTCCTGCTTTTGTAGTTGATGTTTGTATGTTTCATGGAAGGTGCTATCCATCTACCTGCAGTATCCCTGGTAAAGCTGGTAATGCATGAATATTGGAAGGTCTTTTGCGACGGGAGATTCTCGACTGAACTACTGAAATTTGGTACCATAACAAAGCCTCTGTATGCTGACGTCATCGGCGGGAATGCAAGAGCTCAACGCATAGCGAATGACTGTGCTGCGTCTGTTTGAGATAGACGTTTGTGTTTTGATGATGATTGGGGTTTTAGGGCGCGCCGACGTATTTGTCTCGTGTTACTGGCCTCAACGTGGAATGCCGAGAGGATCGTGATGGGGTTTTTGTCTCATCAGGGGATAGATGAGCAGTGGCCGGTTGTCGTTGTTCTAGGCGCCATGAGTTTGTTTCCCGCCTACTCGTCGGATGCGCCGGCACCTCGGCCACCAGAGGACGGGAGCAGTACTGCATGGCTCACCAACGTCAGCTTCCCGCCGACTGCGGCAGCCGCGGCCGGCCACGATCCGTCCGCCACGGCAGACAGCACCGCCTCACCGGCGGCCGAGATCACGGTGGCCCCGTGCGCCGGCCTGTCTCCGGCGTCGGCCGACCCCGAGTTGCGCTCTCGCCGCGCTGTCAAGCGGCGCTCCTGTGAGACCCAGTCTCCGGACCGTGCCGAGAGGCGGCGCCACAAGCGGAAGCGCCGGCTGCGCTCACCGCCTCCGCCGGCGGCGGCGGAGGCCGACCTGCCGCCACTGCGGGGCGTCTTCCTGGAGGAGGCGCGCGTGCGTCCCGAGGCTGCGCTCTCGCTGGACCGCCGTCCGGACAAGGCAAACCGTTCGTCCGCGGTCATGTACCATCGGTACGTTGCGCAGTACACGCGGCGGCGGCGGCCGCTCGGCTGGGCGGCGCCTACCGCGTCACCACCGCCGCGCTACTTCGATCGCGCGGCGCGCCGCCGCCTGCGCCGCGTGCCGGCCGCTGTCGCCGCATCGGTACGCCTCGAGGGCGCCGGCTTCGTGCCGCTGCAGCTGTCAGTGCCGACGGTGACCGTCGACGCCGACGACGCGGAGCTGCACGGCGAGACGGCGGAGCTCAACAAACGGCTGGCGAGCGCGCCGCGCGACGAGGCGCTCTGGCTGCGGCTGGTGGCGCAGCAGGAGCGGCTTCGCGGGCGCGTGCCGGCGCAGCAGCTGCTCGAGCGGCAGCTGGCGATCCTGGAGCGGGCGCTGCGCGAGTGCGCCGGCAGCCTGCCGCTGCGGCTGCGGCGGCTGCAGCTGAGCGCGCCCGACTGGGACGGAGAGCAGACGCGCAAGGAGTGGAGTCAGCTGCTGTTCGCGCACCCGGCCGACGTGAGCCTCTGGCGGAGGTGGGTTGAGGCGGCGCCTGCAGCGCGCGCAGCAGAGACGCTTCGCCTTCTGCGCCGGTCGGTCTCCACGTACAACTGTTTATAAACGCATGGGGCGTTAGAATTGAGTGTTGTGATGTGGGAAGCCTGAGAGAGTGGAGTGAGAGAGTGAGTGTTCAGTTGCTTGAATACGAGGGTTGTGTTCATCAGTAAAATTCAGCGTAACGGCGGTGTGTCTGTTTGTGCACGCGACAATAGGGCGCGGGCTCCGAGCACACGCCTGGGCTTTTCGGTCTTCCTCCGCTACAATGCACGTGGAAGATTTGGGCTGCTGATGGTAACTCAGCTGTGTGTGGTGTGAAGGCTTCTAAGAATTATAACCATTGTCCAACGTTGCAGCGACAGTTTGCTGAAGGGACGAGGGCTGCTCAAATTAAGTTCTGGTATACCTATCTCTGAATATGTCTGAAGTCGTCCAGGGCTGTAGCGCGTACAGCATTTGCGTTGGTTGGCTGGTAGCATCAGGAAAGTGTGATGTTTTTGCTGAAGTGAAAGGCACGCGAAGTGGTGTTTGTAATTTTTGATCGGCGACAACAATCTCGGGGCACATTTGAACCCGAATAGTGTTGAAAATGTTTGATGGGTATCTTATCTGGCACCACGACATGGTTATTACACGATTTCGCTGAGGTGCTGTTGGATGATTACCGCGACGAGCTTGGTACAACATGGTACGTCTCACAGACGGTGTTCCGCGTTGTCCAGGTACCTGGCATTCCAGCAGCACGGGTCGGGGTTCGGGCTAACAGGCCTGCTCTCGGCGTTCGCGCGCTGCCTGGACCGCATGCGCCAGTTCCAGGCAGGTCTGATGAGGCCGCACCGTCCTCCCCCACGACTGGAACAGTTCATGCTGGAGGTTCTCAGCCACCTGTGTCGGGTACGTTGGTGTCCGTGTGGGGAAGATATGCGTTGTTGTTTTTGTTTTTTTTTAAATAGATGTATTGTGTGGCGTTCCTGCTCGATAAGGATGCAGGCCTGACCACGTTGCGTCTGGATTGGACTATGCCAAATGGTGTCAAGTACATTTGTGATATGCCAATTTCGTCCGTCGTCCGTCCGTCCGTCCGTTTTTGTTTGTTTGTTTTTTTAGCAGGACACAACGTGGACGGCTGCGTGAGTTAAAGCGAAATTACTGCACGCCACACTTCAGCCCTTGTGACGATCCATGGCATCAATTCACGCCTACCGATGGTGTTGTCGGTCACAGCGCGCGCGAGAGGGGGCGTGCTGTAGCATTTAGCTTGGAGACACTTCGTATGTGTGGGAGAAGCAATCTGCCCAAAGAGCATGCCGTTGGAAACGTCACAGAGCTCGAACATCGATGAATGTGGCGTCTCGCACGCACTTAACTGTTGGACCAGTGATTGTTTCTGAGCTTCTGCCCCTCGATTTACGTACTGCATCCTCATCCACCATTCCTAGATTCTGCGTCAGGCCGGCTTCATGGAACGCGCCATCTCCATCTATCAGGCGCTGTTGGAGCTGAACCTTTTCTCACCACCGCAAGATGGCAGTGCGTTATCGTCGACCCTTGCGGCCATGGAGCCGTTTTGGGACGCTCGGCTGGCGCGGCTGGGCGAGCCTGGCGCACGCGGCTGGCCGGCCGAGCTGGCTGCTCGTCAAGAGCGCGCGCCAGACGAGAGCGCCGAGCCGGTCGATGAGCTGGAGGAACGGCTGCTGGCCGAGCGGCGACCGCGGCCCGAGGTCTGGCGTCTGGTGGAGGTGAGGTGCGCGCGTTGGTCTGCACGCCGGCGACGGCCGGGCGGCGGATCGTAGGGGCTTTTAGCCACTGCGAGTGCACAGCTTTGATGCGAAAAATACCTCCGCCGAAAACCGAAAACCTGCAGTCTCGCAAACCCAAACCTCGAATACTGGGAGCGCTTTCGGCCGCGCCATGCATGCTTCTAGGAGAGACACGAAGAATGTGTGGGTGTATCCTTCACGGATACTGTGTGTTGCTCTGGTTTATGCTTATTCCGACCACGTGCTTTGGCTATGACCTGCGTCCTGTACCCGAATTCTTGGCATATTTTTAACTATTCATTCCGAACGTTTTTGAACGCATGGATTTCTGGAATCACAGCTTACGCTAGGCAGTGTCTGTTGTGTGACCCCTGACCCCCTATCATCCGATTGCGAAATGCCAGGCTAGCGGCAAAATTTGGTTTAACCTGCCGCAATGTTCGGCACGGTCTGTCCTGCCCTCTGACGTCACCTTACCTTTAGCGCGGCTGCTGCCAACGGCTGCAGTCCATGACTGTCAAGGGCAGATAGCGAGCGCCTTTAGCGACTGGAACCCATCCAGCCACGGATGGGTGGATCGGAACGCATCCGTTGTGACCAACTGAGCCCCTGTAACGGACGGACAAATCATTCATTAATGGTGGCTTTGTTACCCGCGGGTACTCCGTAGAACGGCCAGGTTCATTACGCTACGGTAGAGACTAAGAGAACGAAAAACGTCTCATTGATGTCGATCGTGGCGCTGGTGATTTCATCCGGCGTGAGGCCGCGGTGAGCAGGCGCGTCACGGTTGTCGTGCAGTTGCTGGCTGGTTAAAGGCAAGGCGCGGGCGTTTAGTGACTGGCGGTCACCGTTGAGCGGTGCTGGCGGTGGTGGCGCCCGGAGTGGCCATGCCGGAGCTGACTGTGCCTGTCCCGGCCGGACCACACCGGGTGATGCCTGCTGACGCCCGATCTGCCCTGCTCTGCCCTGCCCTGCCCTGCTTTGCCCTGCCCCTCCCCGCCCCGCCCCGCCCCCCGCCCCGCCCTGCTCTGCTCTGCCATGCCCTGCCCTGACCGGACGCGTGCCCCCAGTGTCGGCGGGAGGAGCTCCATTGGTTGCCATGGGACCGGCCCGGCCGGGAGGACGACTGCGAGGACACCGACCGCATCGTCCTCTTCGAGGACGTCAAAAGGTAGCGGCTGAGGCTCGGGGCGAGCCACACGGGTGCTTCACTCACCAGAGCGGGTGTACTGAGGTCAACGATGGGCGAGTGGGCAGGGGGGGGGGCTGCCGGTCCTTTTGGTCTCCACGGCTTGAAGCGTAGATCGTCGTTCCGCTAGCTAAGCAAACGCCAAGACTACCCAAGTGGCAGCCCGTGCTCAGGCTGTCGGTGGCACGCCGGGGTGACTGCAGACAGTAGCAGCGAGCTTAACAGGGGGTGGGGGAGGGGGGGGGGGGGGGCAATGTCAGGCGCCTTAGCGAATCGCACGCATTATTTTGTTCCGTGGTCAGTCGACTGTCCGTTCTTTGAAGTGTCGAAGGAATTAGAACCCCGCACGAAACATTGTGACAGTATGTCATTCTAGGATACACACGGGCTATGATTGAGAAAGGTTTGTTTCAGTTCTGGATATCACGACCACATGAAATCGTGCATCTCCGCTTTGCCGTCGGCCCTAGCTCTGCATACCAAAGCGACCCAATAACGAAAGTACCGTGGTGCCGTATGCACGTTTGGATTGGCTGAGGACTCGCACCGTTTGCCTTTTAACGCGACGCTGTTCATGATGATTGCAAGGTAAAGGGGAAGCTCCCAAGCGGGAAGAAAGACGTCAAATGAGTCGTGAAGGGATGCCGCAGCGTTGTCGATATTTGATGCAAAGCCGGTCTCCTGTGAGCCAGATCTCGTGAAGTGTCAGTAGTATCCTAAGTTAAGCACGCTGAGTTCAATATCGTACATGTCTTAAGAGCATTGATCGCCGAGCTGGGGTGTTTCTGGTACAGCTTTCACAGCGCATCTATCCCGGCTCCAGGTTTGTATTTTATCTGTCGCCGGAGCTGCACGGCCGCGCCGTGGAGGACTTCGTCGCCTTCCTCAGCGGAGAGGACAGCGAGGACACCAGCCCTGGGGACGACACGCTGGCACTTCTCGCCCTCGACGGTGGCGCCCTCAGTGCCTCGTGCTCCGTTCCTGCCGTCGGGTCCCGCATGGACTCGTCCGAGTGCGTGGGTCCGCTCACTGTGCCTTTGCCCGGACCGCGGGTGGACTCGCCGGAGTATGCGGCCTTCGTCGGCCGTGTGCTGGAGCAGAGCGCCGGCGTCGTGCCCGCCGGCCAGCGCACGCGCCTGCTGCAGCGCTGGATGCGCTTCCTTGGACGGCGAGCCTTCATTCCGACCGCAGCAGGTGGCGCCGCCGCCACCGGTAAAGACGGCGTCACCGTCCAGAGTAAAGGTGGCGCTGCCATCGAGGCATCGGCTCAGGCCTGCAAGGAGGCGCGCCGCCGACTAAAGGCCATTCTGAAGTCGGAGCGGCAGAATGTGGCGCTGTTCCTCGAGTATGCCGAGTTCGAGCGTGCGACGGGCGCGTCCGAGGCGGCCGGCCGTGTGATGGAGACGGCGCTGGCCCAGTGTCCACTGGAGGATCCGGTCCGGTTCGAGATTGTCCACAGGTGAGACTCCAACAGACAGTTCGGTTCAGTCCGTCAGCTTTGGTACTGATTCGGCCGAGGTCGTTCCCGCTGAATAATATGTGTGCATTTATATTGCTCGGTGAGGTGCATCGGGCGCGTGAGTCTCATTATGACTTCCAATTTCCACCGTGCTTATTTACTAGGTACTTCATTCCACTCTCCGGCGTCCGGATAGCTACCAGTCTTGTTATCTACCACAAGATTTCATCTGTGTGCACAAACCGGCGATGGTGTAAAGGTTTATAACACCAATAAATGTGGATACCACTCGGGTTTGCGGAGCGCGGACCTGACACGCCAGTGTGTAGTTTGGGCTAATTTTTTGTTTGGTCTCGTCATGAAAAAGGATGAAAAAGTAGTCAGATGGTGTTCTATAATAGTACCAAAGCAACGAAATAGAAAAGAGAAATAGTACTTCCAATGCATCCAAGGAAAAAATAGTTTCGAGGCATAGCAAACTTGAATGTTGGGTAACCGCACTGCTGGCATGCACAGCATGTTTCCATTCTGAATTCAACCTGATCTTTTGTTTGCTTTGGACTTTTTCAATCATGTAGGTGAACAGGAGGTCATAGTTTATCTCTACTTCATCGTTTTGCACTTTTTAACCAATCCGTGGCCTCCCCGCACATATTCTTCCATTCTTTTTTTTACATATTCTATGCATGTCACTACAAATCAATTTCAGAACACATGCTAGATGGAAGCATTTAAGCCTTTACAATTCTACAGCCTGGCGCTCCTAAAGAACTTGTCAGATCATCGCTTGTGGAACCACACTGGCTTTAAATGACGTCAGTGCCTCTTGCCTTGAAGCAGGCACGTATATGTGGTGGCGTGTGGTGGCGTTGTGTGGTGGCGTGTGGTGGCCTCTTGCCTTGAAGCAGGCACGTATATGTGGTGGCGTTCGTGTCAAGCTTCAATTACAGAGGAATAGCACGCCCAACACGGTTCTTCAGCACTGGCTTGCGCCGTGAACTTCAATGGCCGCAGAGCAGTTTCCGGAGATGCTTCCCACCGGCTGGGCAAAAATCGTTTGGAAATCCCTCGCACGTAGAAGCTAGCGCAAAGATGGAAATGCGCACAAACTATGCAAAGATCGGCGGAAATGCCAGAAAGCTACCATTGAATCGACGCTATAACCTTTGGAAGCCCACAGTTGGAACCAATCGCAGCTGACGGCCGGCGCGTTACTATTTGACCGGGCTTGGTGATATGCAGGTTTTCACGACTAGGTCGCACGGGCGTTATTGTGGGTTCTCTCTTTTCAACGGCGGTGAGCTCTGGAACAAGCATCTGGTGGTATCCGTGATTGTTTTCGGCGCGTTTGCTGGTGGATGCTGTATGCCATGCTCATATTTTTTATTTCCCCACCCGGTGGGCTTTCTGGTACGTTGTCTGTAACGGACTCGAAAGATGGCCTGGAATACTTGCATGCCTCTTGAACGTTGTACACGCTTGTTGATGATGTTTCTCAGCCTGGCTAGTTTCCATAACTTGAGAGGTTACTTCTCTGCTATTTCAACCAGTAACTGTCCCAGAGGGACTTGTGTGACGTACCTGATGTGTCGGTTTCCAACTTCATCCATAAGCATCACTGGGATTTTGATCCTTGGGTGTGTCTACCAATCTGTTGAGTCCAAGCGGTTTGGGTGTTGGGTAGCTTACTAATGACTGATGAACTAAGACCTCTGGAAGAGGCAAAATGCTCGCCGCCTCCGGGGTGGCCACCCAAGCCTCTGGGGCGCCACCCAAGCCTCTGGGGCATGGGGCGTCGTGATGTATTCACACTAGCGGCTGGTGTCTGGGGTACCTCTTCACGCTGGTGTGTTGCGTCCAGTCTGCTGCCCCACGCGTTCCCCCAGCTCGAGCCTGGTTGGGGCCCGAGTTCACCCTGCCTCGTATGGGACAGACGGCGCCAGCTGAGTGTGCCGCGCCGCCGGATGAGTGCGCCGCACCGCCGAATGAGTGTGCCGCACCGCCGGCTGAGTGTGCCGCACCCGCCGGCAGAACGTGCCGCAAACGCCGGCTGAGTGTGCCGCATCCGCCAGGCTGAGTGTGCCATACGGGCCGACTGCTGCCTGTGCCGCACCGCCGGCTGAGTGTGCCGCGGCCG